GTAAGGACCAAGCTGCTCTGGCTGGGCTGTTTTAGACTTGTGCAAGAACTGAAGTACAACTCAGTCAAGTAAGTGGAACACAGTTCTGGAACCCTTCAGTGCCAGGCTTTATGAGTTTACACCCTCTCCTGACTTGAACTCTAAGTGACCTGTTTTAAGTGATGTGTCTGTGTTTAAGCTGACATATGAAGTCTCAGCACAGTGAGTTACTTGTTCAACTACCTTTCCTACAGTAATGTTCAAAGTATTTCAGAAAACAGAAGAAAAATACTTGATTTCTTTTCACAATGGCTAGAGATAAGTTTTGTGCATATTGGGATGTTGTTAAAGTGCTCACCTGCATTTTTCATAAAGGCAATATAAGGGAGGAAACTGTGGCCCTCAACAGCTGTTTGGTTCAGAGCACGGTGAAAATGGAGAGCCTCACATCTAACAGATTTGAAGTCCCTCTCAGCACACTTTAGCTGTTGTTATTTAGAGATGCACTGGACATAGAAAAGAAATTCTACTCTTAAGGTGGCTATACCCCTTCAGAAGTTAAGAGACACAGCTCTACAGTGTTTGCCTGAGATGAAAGGTTTGGGACTAAACAAGCCCATGAGGGGAAGTTACAGATGTATTTTTAACTGGTCAATTAGTGCTCGGCATCCCCTGTGCATCAGCATGGGCAGTTTCTCTATAAAGCTGTCAGAAAGCTTGTAAATACCCGGTGTTACTTATAATTACGTCTCAGACAAAAGGAATAGCCTGAGAAATGCATCTGACTGGTGATATTATGAAACGAGGGCTGAAGTGTGCCAAAGAGACAGTAATTAGTATGGGTATTGTTCCAGGTAGTTTTAGAGAGTGTTCTCACCATCCCATGGAACATGATGATAGAACCCTCAGCTGAAGCAGAATGGCATGAAAGAGGTGATGTGTTCAAAATGGAGCATCGTTCTGAAAATCACCTCCATTAAATGGGAGGGGAAAAAAATAATAATAATAAAAAAAGAATTGTTAGATCGTATATGGCACAGGAAAGCAAACAGAAAAGTGTAAATCTGTGAGTGGAGAAGAACTAGTGGTATGGAGTCTTGTGCTCTTATGTATGTTGTATGCTTTAGATCTCGGGTGCATCCCTTTCTAAAGTAAGTGTAAAGCTGTAGGGTAGCATTTTTGACCACTCTATATTCTCTGTATCTCAGTGTAACTGCAGCTTATTGCTGGAGGCTGGCTGTGAGTGCCAGGAAGCTTACCTGCTTCTTAAACTTAGGTAGATGGAGATACCATACGATAAGTGAACTCCTTCCTTGGCTTTCCATCCTCTCCTATTAATCACATGCTGGGCCGACTGAAATCCAGCAGAAAGCAAATGCATGCTGACATTTTTTATATCTAAAAACTACAGATCAGCAAAATGCATTTCAAATTATGTGTTTGGCTTGTTGTTATATTTAATGATAATCTTTGTGTTCTTTTTCTTACATATTCATTTAATAATTAATGCATTGCCATGGTTTCATATCCTTTCCTTACCAGTGACAACAAGGGCAAGCAAATCGCTGCCTTTCTAAATAAGTCTCACAGTATCATATACATCTAAAAACTTGTGCTTCTAAATAAAATAGCAAGAACAATAAAAATCTAAAAGGAGGTATGGTAATGTTGTGAGGGAATGAATACGGTGTTCAGGGGCGTGAGCTCAGTGCGTTCCTGTAGAGATTTTATTTAATTCCAACCATTTCTGAAGAACATTTTGGTCACAGAACAGTTTGGTTGGAGGGCCCTTGAGGACCATCTAGTTTCAACCATTGAATCAGACATGAGATCAGGCTGCCCAGGGCCCTATCTAACCTGGCCTTGAGCATCTCCAGGCTGTTCGCTTTTCTGGACAATACATGAAGATGCCTTCCAGCTCATCCTCTCTTCAGTGTATCAGTAGTGGCATAATAACACAGCTGTGTCCATCCCTTTGGTCAGTCAGAGGTTGAATTCAGGCTGTTGACATCATTTTCCAAATTACATCTAGCGCTGAGATTCAAAATGGTGCTGTGCTAGTGATAGGTGCAGCTCACTTTCATTAAGCAGTTCACCTGAATTTAATGCTCTGAGAGTACACAGCGCAGGCAAAAAAACCTTGCTACCTAGCATCCTGCAGGTCCTGCAGCATAGTGGTACCCTGGATGAACATGCTGGCTTAGAGCCCTGCTCCATTCAGCAATGTTTGCATGACCTCATTTCTACAAAGGCTGTTTGCTTTCTGCATTCCACTCTAAGAGAGAGAAGCCAGCAAATTTTGAGAAGGTAGAGAAATGTTTAGCAGGAAAAATATCATTCATAATGCTGCTGAGAAAATGACCTCTTATTTGGCCTTATGCAGGAAATCGTGTGAAGATGAAGAGGGATCTAAGCATACAGCAGGAAAGATAGAAATAACTGTACTTTAAAAAATAGCATCCGCAATTCAATGAGTAAATAAAAAGCAATGCAATGCAATGCAAAGCAGGCATTAATAATTCATGTGACAGTGCCGTACAATGGGCAGAAAGTCTGTGATTGTGTGGGTAATAAACGAGAGAAAATGCATAACAAAGAGAATCAGTATTTGAAATGAAAATGACCTTAAGGACCATCAGAGAATGACCAACCTATTAAGAAAGAAATCTCTCTCACAGTCAGAGGATACTTTCCAAAAAGAAAAGAAATTTCTGAGTCATCAAAATGACTTGAGAGGAACAGTGGTTTATGATCACAAATACGACAGTGTCTTTATAAAGGGCAACTTCATAATAATATACAATTACTTCCATCCATTTGGAAGAATACATCTCTTTCTACTTAGATCATCTTGTTCTACAAAAGACAAATGAATATATCTACCAGTTTTGCTGTCATCAAGCTGTGCGCTCAGGCCATTTCCCAGCTCATTTCTTTGGGCTTTCCCTACCCCAGCATTTCTTTGGTCACAATTTGCTTCTGAGATCCTTAAAGCCATGCTGTATGTATGATGGCTCCATTTTCTACCTGTTTTTTCCAAAGATAGCACATAGATTAGTGCCTTATGTTATGTCAAACGCTTTAATGATATTAAGTACTTAATATCTTACTTGAGCTGTAGTAGAAGATTTACAATTTAGTCTAGTCCAAGACTCCATGATAAGACATGGGGTTTGCAGAGGAAGGATGCATGCCTTGCTGTTTTGTTGTCTGTGGAAAGGTTCCTGTTATTTCAATGTTTCACCCCCCAAAAATGAGTGGCTGAGGACTCACCACAACCCAACACAACTTTGTGTAACAGCAGGGCTAGATGTCCCTCTCCTCACTGACACATGGTCTAGGTCTGTGATAGTTGTATTCATAGGTTTTAGGGGGACAAGGCCCACTTGATATCCTGAGCTGTAAAGACTTGTAACATCATTTGTTTTTGAACTTAAAAAGTAATATCTGACCGAAATAGTATTTCATACTCAGAAAGTCTCAAGCACAAAGGGAACCAATAAATAAATAAATAAATAAATAAACGAATAAATGGATTTGTTGTTTATTAAATGGCGCAAAGAAAGCTGCCTGGAGAAAACCTTGCTTTGTTAGCCTCCACTCCTGCTAGGCAGTCAGGTGAAGAGAAAAAGGAGGGAAAGGACAGAGACACAGGCCTCACAGACCCGGATTTTTCAGTCTCCACATGACTCAGTCGGTTTTAGTAGCTTCTACACACAAAAAGTGCCTCAGACACATGGTGCAAATACCCTTCTTTCTCAGCTGCAGCATCCATCTTTCCCAAGTAGAGAATTCAAACCCTGCCTCTGCTCTCACAGTCTATTAGCTGCCTGCTCAAATTAGGCTTGCAGTAAGCAATGCAGCAGAGAGATGGTTTTCTTTAATTGTCCTTTATGGAATTCCGATGAAGGCATGACAATCACTAATCTGAAGTCCTTGAGGAAATAAGACAAAAACCCTTGCAGAAATGTGCCCAGGCTGATCTGAGATATAAAGCAAGGAGAACATTATGAGGGATCTGATTTTTGCCTGTCCCCACCACTGATTCATTGAAATGCTTTCTGCAAGTCATTTATGGAGCATCAGTGTAGTCACTGATGGAGGAAAAACAATATTTATTTCCTTTCACAGAAATGTCCCGAGTCTTAGTAACCACTGCTTGTGCAAATCTTTGGATGAAAGGAAACATAAGGGTTCAAAGCTCTTATTATATACTGCTTGTTACACTTTATAACAAATGTCATCACAGTAGGTAGGAATTAACATTCCAAAGCCCAGAGGGTGGATACCTCTTCATTCCCATATATATAAAACTCATAGAGCGACCTTTCTCAAAGCAAGGCCAACTGAAGACGGGTGAGTCTGAATCCACTTAGAGTAGATATTCAGGGGAAGAAGCCTTGATTTTTGCTTTGATTTACTGTTTTGTTATTATTGCAGTTGTTGTGCTGTTTCTACTTAAGGCTTGTGATGATTTCTGTGGTGGGACAGAAAACAAAATGGTTGATAACTTGAAATTTTATATGGCAATTTTCTGCATGTAGAAGCAGCTTCAAATCATAGTGCTAGCTGGGTCCCCATATGGACTTGCCATTGAATTAAGAGTTATTGGGTCAATCTGTGCTGATCCAATATTCTATTCTTGCAAATAGAATCACAGAATCATAGAGCTGTTTGAGTTGGAAGGGACTCTGAGGGGTGATCTAGTCCAGGATTAATAATGAACAGGGACACCTACAGCTAGATCTGGTTGCTCAGAGAAATACTCAGTGTTAGGGCTCAACCTGAGCTCAGGCAGTGGTTTGGCTACCCGAATAAGCTCTCTCAGGGCACTGGAGTCTTTCAGATGACGTGGATGGACTGTTTGTGTTCAAACATCCATGTGATGTAGTTTACAGTAGAAAGAACTATTAGGCTGGAGAAAAGGTCAAGCCTTATTAAAATCAATAAGGCATTTTCAGGTGTTAATAGCATGGCAGGAGAATTGCCTGCAAGGGCTGTGGCATTGTTTTGTACTCAAAACCCTCTCGGGGAAAAAAAAAGCATTTGTAATTTATAAAACTGCATGGTTTTAATGCGCTCTGCAGCAAGGCAAGTGCAATCGATGCTTTTTTTTTTCCAGTCAATAGCTATTATCTGATGATATTTTGGAATTTTATTGATAAACACAAGAGGCATTTATTACTGAAGTGATTATCTGCCATTATCACACACCTGAATATATGCAGAGGTTTTACTGTATCAGCAGATGACAGGCCAAAACATCCCTGCTGACAATGGCCACCAGCTTAGTGCTTCCCTCTCAATCTGATAATGATGGCATGGTGGTACATGTGATGGAGGAGATGTCCTTCCAAACCATCTGAATAGGTAGGAAATAAGCAAGTGGGGCTCCCATCTCCTCCCATCACCACACTCTGAAGCCAATGGGTGATGGGAAGGAGCAGGGGAGCTTTTGCCATGCATGCTTTCTTCCAGGGCTGCTGAATATCAGCTCCAACTTCTTCATCCTGTGTTTTCAGGTGTCCTGGTGCAGCTGAGGAGAGCCATCACCATGGTCACTGCACTGCTCTTGCTGGGCCTTTCGGCCCTGTTTGGTGAGCCTGGGCTTACGTTTGGTGTGCTGTGGAGAGCACCCTGCCACACAGAGTCACAGAAACACCCATCCAGCCTTATCTGACCTCTCTGCCTGCTCAGAATGATCTCACAAACATCACAGGCTGCTTGTTAGATGGAACCTATGAATTTCATGGGTTTTGAGGAAATAAATAGGGCAGTTTTCCCAGATTGAGGCATGCACTCTCCTCAGTTAATTGTCCACTGAGCTGCAGAGGGACAGAGGAGGTCTTCTCAGCCAGAGTGCTCAGGTGCCAGCAGCCATCATCTGAGGTGGCCTGGACACTAAGGGTCATCGATAAGTAAATACAGAGGCTGTGGTTCCTTCCCCCACAGCAACCTTTACATCTAACAGGGATGACACCTGTCTGTGTAAAATGATATTTAATTTATTTCAATCTGTTTGACCAGAAAGTAACAAATTCCTACTCTTTAGCTGTGATTGATAACATCACTGATAGGCAGCAGTGGCAACAGTATAAGCACAGTGATAATAAAGTGGTTTGGATCACGGGTCTGGATGAACACCTCATGCCTGTATTCACCTGCAGTAAGCTGTATGATACTGCTGTGAGGTCTAATGTTTCCAAACGCCTCCATTTAATTTTTCAGCTCCATCCATGAGCTACAGTTGCTATGGTGATATCAGTGCTCTTCAAGCACCCACAGTTTCCTGCACAGCCGTAAGAGCCCAGGACTGCGGTAGGTATCAGACACGGCTTGACTTGTTGGCCTACAGAGAGATGCTGTGTCTCCTGTTGGCATCCTCAGCATCCTCACCAGGCTTCACTTTTGAGGGAGCTGTTGGGTAAGGCTGTCTCTGCCCTGGCTGCAGGCCCTGCTGCTCTGAGGAGGACGGTGGAAGCGGACGTCATCCGCTTGAGGAAATACGAGGTGCCCATTAAGAGAGTGGCCAGAAGGCTTTGCTTGGACCCGGCTCTCATTGCTGCCATCATCTCTCAGGAGAGCCGTGCCGGCCTTCTGTTGAACAACGGCTGGGACCAGGGCCAGCAGCGGTACGGCCTGATGCAGGTACAGCCAGGTGACGTGGGAAGATAATCCTGTGTGGCAGCATGGCAGTGTGCTGGGTGCCTCAGGGCTTCACCTCAGTTAGCAAGCATCCTGCCTTTAGCACTGGGATATGAGGTCCCTATGAATCGCAGCCTGCGGGTGCTGAGAGCATGGTGAAGCTATGAGTGGTGGCTGTGTTCCGAGAAAAACTGGTCTCCTTCTTGACTTTTCCAGATTGACAGGAGGTATTATCAGCCCTTTGGGACGTGGGACAGTGAGGATCACATAAACCAATGTTCAAGCATGCTGGTGGCAGGAATCAATGAAATGAGGGCAAGGCACCCTGCCTGGAGCTGGGATCAGCAGCTGCGAGGTACAGCGTGCGGGAGTGCATGCGGGGGTGATGTGTAGGAACACGTAGAAACAAAGAGGGGAAGTTGTGTTACTGGCACCACCAGTATGTGAACATTCACCAGGGATGTGAACAGTTGAAATCCTTAAACCAGAAATAATTGACAAACAGAACTCTTTTAGTTTTCCCTGTCAGCAATTTGGTTTGCAATCCATACTGGGATATGTACATCAAGGCAGTTTGTGGTTGTAGGTTTGTGGTTGTTGGTTTTTTTTCAATTTAAATAACACAAGAAGCTTTCTAACAACACTTAATTAACACCAGGCGAAGAATTTTCATTTGCGTGAAGCAGAGGCCTCTAAATGATGAGAGTGCAGCGCGTTTGCTGCTATCACCTCTGAAAGAATAAAAGCATCAGCCTGGCAGACTGTACAGCATTTCAGCATCTCTTGAAAAAATACATAAATAAAAGATCTTCCTCATTTGAAAGAGGCAATCACAAAACAGCAGACCAGCAACAGTATTGTTGGGATAGGCTATAACATTCAGTCAAGGAGGCATTAGAATCCATATTTGCATGCCATTATTTCACTCCATGCCATTTCTTGCTCTCCCATCCTTACTCTCCCGCTGCCACGTTAGACTGCCTTCATAGGGTCACTGTGCTGTTCCCACCCTCATTTGGAGAGAACCATGGGTTCCTTAACTGCAGAAATAGGGCTTTTGCTAAATGAGTCACTTTTCAGTATTAATGACACAAGTAGCAATTTCCAATGGTGCTGTATAAGTTCAATGAGACGCGTTGCCTTTCAGGCTAGGAAGTTTTATTTTAAAATCTGTATTTCTGATTGATCAGCCCACAACAACTTCCTCTTGACTCTTTCCAGGGGGAATTTGCACCTACCATGCAAGAGCCGGCAACCTCCAGATGTACGATGAAGACCCCTGCAGCAGAGATAACAACTATGTCAACAGCGTGATCAGGAGGGCCCAATACTTCAAGAGAAATGGGTTCTAGCTCAGTGACCCCCTGCCACCGAGCCTCCACTACATGTAGACTAGCCCAGTAGTGACAGTAGTACCCAGAGCCTCCCAGGGACCTGGCAGGACTGATGTGCCTCACAGGGACAACAGAGCACAATCTGGAGGCCTTTAGAAGTCAGATAGTGACATCCAAGTGATGCTAAAATGTTGGGTGAGGACGTTCCTTGTATCAGGAGCTGAACCTGGGGCTGTTCATGCATCTCCAGGTGGGGATGCAAACAGCTCTCACTCAGCATGGGCTGTGCTGCCCATGTTCTCTCTTACAAACAGGAGGGATAACCCCTTGAGTTTTCTCCCCTTTGATAGTGCTGGCCACTTCCCAATGAAGAGGCTCCTCTCTGAGTCTTGCATCACTCCATACACACCTGTCCCAGGAGCTGTGCCACAGCATCAGTGCTGGTAACAACCTCAGCATCTTCCCTGCTTTGCCTTTGGAGCATTTGTGCTGGAACCTGCCAAGTTTCAAAGCATTCCAGCTTCTGTCCCTCTGTCCTGCCAGTTTGCCTGACTTCTAATTAGGAGTGGGTAAGCTCTGGGTTTGTAAACTGTTTGAGAGTACTTTTTAATGTGGATGGTTCTGGGTGCAAATTTAGGCTTACTGGCAATCAAAATAAAGATAAATGTTGAATTCCATTTTTTTATTTGTTTGGCAATGTATTCATCTTTGCTGTTTCACAAGGCATCGTCAGTGGCAACCTGTGACTTAGGTAATTAACCCAATTTGGGACTTTCTGAGAACAGAAAGAGGAAAACGGAGCAGCAGAGCAGCAGTAGGAAGAGCTGGGCTGGGAGACGTCAGTCACTCACCTGCTTACCATCCCAGCAAGGACTGTGTGTAAGTGAAATACTTGCAGGCAGTTTTATGTTTACAGTTTCTGGAGGCCAGAGGGAGCCATAGGACATCTCTAACATTACTGTGTTTTGTTTTGTTTTGCTTTAAGACTCCAGGAAACAGCTCAGTGTTGAGCTATCAGAGGTATTCAACTAGATACTAATTCGTCTGTAGTGAACTCTGTGCTGAACTCAGATAATTTTAGTAAAACACCATGTTATAATACAGACTCGTAAGGCATCACACACAGTTTGATTATCTCTGCTTGAAACAGCTTATGTAAAATGCATAGGTTGAAGTCTTTGCTGTAAACTTCTATCTTATGCAATCCTCCTACATTATGCACAATGTATGTTAACACTTTTGGTAGAAGACTATAAGCTTTATATGGGCTGGGGGCAGGGAATCTCATTTCCACATCTGTAGAGTTTTTGAGTTTGGAAGCTTTGCAAAAGCAGAGATTTCTTTGGTTCCCTTCACAATGCCCTTCTCTGCTGCCACTAGGATGTGCTGCTATTCCTGTGGATCTCTGAATGCACTGGGTGTCCCATTTCTGCATGTGTTACCTGTGAGGCTGCTGCTCCACATCTTGCTCCCATCAAGGAAATTTTTAGAAGTCCATTTAAAGGTCTCGATTGCAGCAATTCTGTGTTTTATCACAAACGTTATTTTATGGTATCAGCACTTTGTACCGACTACAGAAAATCTCCATGGGAAGTGAATTGAAATACAACTGCCTGATAAGTTGGCAGGAAGGAGTTAAGGAGAATTCAACACCAGCATATTGCTACCAGGTCTGAGCAGAAGTTTTCTGCCAGTGAGCTGGCACTGTTTTTGACCTCTGATCTTTCCTTGCGTGTTCATGTACATTGTATTTGGAATAAACTGTTCAGCTGGCGGGTACAGTGAGCTGTGGGAGCAAATTTGGACACTCCAAATGATTAGAAAAAGCAGGCAGCTTGTAAAGCAAGTTAATAGCATGGAATTTATCATGGAAAGCAGAAGGACAGATCAGGAAAGAGAAAAGATGAACAAGATGGGAAAGAAGATCATAGAATCATAGAATCATTTGGGTTGGAAGCAACCCATGAAGGCCATCTAGACCAATTGAATGATGAGCAGTGATATCTACACCTAGATCAGGTTGCTCAGAGCCCCATCCAGCCTGACCTTGAGTGTGTCCAGGGATGGGCACCCATCATATCTCTGGGCAACCTGTGCTGGTGCTTCACTACCCTTATTGTAAAAAACTTCTTCTATATATCCAATGTAAATCTCTCCTAATTTAGTTTGAAACTATTTCCCCTTGTCCTACCCCAAAAGACCTCGCTAAAGAGTTTGTTTCCTTCTTTCTTATACCCCCCGTCTAGAATTCAGAGACCAAACAGCCTAGTTGCAATGCCTGGAAAGACACCTATTGAACAACCACTGTTCAAGAACCTGGGGGACAACAGTGCATCAAAAAAGCAGCCAGGAGGGCTCTGGCAATGTTGTTCTGTAGGGATAAAATGCCTCAAACCAGCCACAACTCTTATCTCATCAGGTAGATGGCCAACATAGAATCTGTGGTAATGCCACACTGCAAGCTTGATAAGGCTTTTATCAGCAATCTCTGAAGTAGTCTCATGTGAAGGCCCTTAAGATAGGAAGAAAAAGTACTGTTTGGAGCAGTTCTTGGCAGCTTATGGTCAAACCAACGTGATGCCTCCCATGGAACCACTCCAGACTGTCCTACGGTGCTTTCTATATTGTTCATGGTCATGATGTGAATGGGACCAGAGCTAGGTGACTGCCACAGTGAGAAGGAGCATCAACACTTCCACTAATGGTCAAAACCTGCTAGGAATCAAGGAACTGAAATTGAGTAAACACAGTTTACTCAAACAGTTGCAAAACACTGAAGCAATTCAAGTATGGGTATGAGCATTGGAGAAGCGGGTAGGCAGCTATCTCATGAGGAGGGCTGGGGTTCCCATAAAAACCCAACAAGCTGATGCCAAGGGAAGGAGGAAGGAAAGAAAAAGGGAAAATCCCTTTGACAGATCATCTTTGATTCTGCAGTCAGCAAGTAGACATAGGAATAACAAGACGAGGAAATAAAATCTTCTATGTTAGCATTTGTTACAACTGATGTCAGTTTGGGGAAGTGTATTTAAATGCGGATGAGCAGGGTCCTCTGGTAGATGACTCTAAATGCCAGTTTTGGCTGGGTCTCAGCCGCAGCTCATGACTCTTTCTCTGACAGACACAAAACAAAGGGGAATTCCACCACAGCAGTGTTGTGCTGTGAAAGAGTTTGTTCTTCTTTATTACCTGTTGAAAAACTGGTCTGGGATTTCCAGCTAGGAACCAGTTCCCAGGTCTGAGCATCTCTTGCGGTTGGTATGTGCAGCCCTCTTTGCTGCAGACCTGGTCTTTGTGTTTGTAGCTAAATATGTGATATTTTAAGAAGGCTGTTTTGGGTCACGGCACTCCAGAGGGAATAAACTGTAGAGGCAGAGCAGGTCAGAGTGGCTGGGATGGCACTGCTGACCACCACAGCACTCCTACTGTGAGACCTGAGGGAAAGATGTACTCGTGGGCCTTGAGAGTGGTCCTTGGAGAAGGCAGAGAAGGGTTTAGCTAGTCCCGTGACCACAGCAACTGGTTATTAGCCAGCTTATTTCCAATGTTCTTTCCAACTCGAAGGGAGTGGAAATCCCCAATCCTTTGTTTATTATCAGCTTTCCCATCCGTAAGATTTCCGAGAAATAATGTTAAAATAACAATGTTCTTGGGCAAATTTTCCACACACAGGTAGCATATCTCAGCTGTTAAACAAATGAACAATGAAAGCAAACCCAAGGGAGCAGCTCGCTGCTCCTTTAACCATTGCTAGGACCGTGCAGTGGCTCCAAGCCACAGTCGCACTGCCAGAGGCAGAATGACACCCAGGGCACGTATACCAGCAAGGGCAATCTGTGAAGAACGGGATGGGCAGAACTCATCAGTCCAGCCACAATGAATACTGTGCACTGCTGGCCCCAAATGTCCTCACTGCACTTCCTAAGCATCCTTTGGACACTGGCAGCAGCCAAAGACAAAAAGCAGAAGTGACAGAAGCCGATATGCTTTTCCCCCACAGCATTCCAAAGGAGGCTATGGGAAAAATAGGCTGGGAAACTATATCAGGGCATGTACTGATAGAATGAGGGGTAGTGGTTTTAAATTAAAAGAGGAGAGATTTAGATTAGATGTCAGGAATACGTTTTCCACCAAGGGCAGTGAGGCACTGGCACAGCTGCCCAGAGAAGCTGTGGTGCCCCATTCCTGGAGGCACTCAAGGCCAGTTTGAATGGGGTAGGGAGGGGGTAGGGCTGGGTAAGCTGTGAGGTCCTTCCAACTCAAATCACTCTGTGATTCTATGATTTTATGATTCTTGGCATTGTTCTGAGAAGGTCCCCATCACTGCCCAAAACCCCGCCTTTGGACACCATCATTTATGGCACCCTTTTTCTTCCTCTGAGGGTTGCACCTCCCCCACAGTGGCTCAGGGCAGAGGTAGGCAAGAGAAGAGGTAGGTTTTAGAGAGCACTTGAAGTAGTGGGGAAAACAGAGAAGCAGCTGAGGAATGGTGGGAGGGGCAGGCAAGAAGCTTGTACTACAGAGGTCCAGCACACATAAAACAGCCCCAACCCTCTTCCTTTGGGCAGTATGGACACAGCGCAGGATGCTGGGATAAGTCCCAACGAACACCTGAAGCTGAGTCTTCAGCTTAGCCCTCACCTGAGTACGAAATACAAGAAGCACATAGAGAAAAATAAGGACTTTTTTTCCTTTTTGAAATGTAGGAAATGCCACTCCCAAAAGCAAACTTACCACCATGCCAATGTCAGTAGTGCAACAGGTTCTGTTTGCGTTAGAAAATTGCTCCCAAAACCACAGCCCAGTACATTTCGACACAGTGTTGGATTGCCACTGAACAGAAGGTAGCTCACCCTATAAATTAAGCTCCCCCAAAACCTCAGCAACGTGGCAGAAGCTGGGCTGAAGACAAGTAGGTAAGATGCTCCTCAGGGTGGGGGGTCTTTTCATCCCTTTCAGCAATGCCACCCCCCCTCAGAAGATTTCTGCTGAGATATTTGAGATTTGTGCTTGCATAGGGACACAAAAATTTGTCTTGTAGTTTTGGACTCAGCTCACCTGAGCTCAGATCTCTGTGTGAGCCCATCTCCCCTGGCTTCCTTAACAGCCGACCAGAGTATGGTTCACCCTGAAGCAGCCATCCACAATAACTAAGATAAAGTGCAGTTTGCAAGTGCCTGTTTTCTGAGCATAAAGCCTTAGATTCGGGCAAAGCTACCTCAGTGTGGTGAAGGTGCTTGTATAGAGACTACGGGCACAGGATGAGGGCATTTGGAGTGGAAGCACAGCAGCAAGGAACACTGAGCATCATTCATTTTATTCTTTATTTGATTTTTCATCAACTAAATATTGGAGCTGGAGGTTGGTTACTAAGATGTTGCTGAAGACGTGGGCTGGAAGCATTGCAGCTTGGTTTGTGCCAGAAGAGAGACGTGACTGCACTTCTATATCACTTTGTGTATCCAACCGAGAGACATAAGCCATCAATTCAGAAATGGTTTATTTGTGTTAAATCAGTGAGCACTGAGACAGGATCATTCCTTCACGTTTGCTGATTGATTTTCCAGATTGTTTTGCGTGCTCGGAAGAACGACCCCATGCACCTGGTGCTCACGCTGCTGGGCTTCACCGCCCTCCTGGGTAAGTCAGCATCCTGCTGCCCCTCTGCGTTCATCCCTTGAGCAGCCCTAGATTAACATACCTCCCCATCTCCCCTTCCCAAATCTCAATTGTTATCAAATTGTGTTGGGACATAAGGTGCTCACTTCTCCTGCAAGTCTTGCTGAAGAAGAGGTTAGCTCTGAGGGGTGGGTGGGTGCAGGACACAAGGCGCAGGGTGCAAGTTGCAAAGTGCAGGATGCAGAGTGCAGGACGCTTACGTCTTTTCATACAACATTTTCAGGTATGTGCCAGGCCCGCACGGATTGCTATGGCAATGTAAACAGAATCGATACCACGGGTGCTTCATGCAAAACTGCAAAACCGGAGGGCTTAAACTACTGTGGTGAGTCTTACACTTCAGTTGGATTGCTCTCTTCCACAGAAGCACAATAATTTCAAGTCCTTTGTATTTTCAAAATGCATAACCTTATAGGCAAGGTCTACCTCCTTTCTGAGATGAGACATCTTTTTGTTTTCGTTACAGGAGTTCAAGCTTCGAGAAAGATTGCTGAACGGGACCTAGGAAATATGAATAGATACAAAATACTCATTAAGAGAGTTGGTGAAGCATTATGTATTGAGCCTGCTGTGATTGCTGGCATCATCTCTCGGGAATCTCATGCTGGCACAATACTGAAGAATGGCTGGGGTGACAATGGAAATGGATTTGGTTTAATGCAGGTATTTGCTGATGCTCCAATAAAACCTAATGAAGTAATGTCATACAAATAAAAGTAAGCCCCAATTACATATCTCCCATTACTGCAGTGAAATGCCTTTTTTTTTTTTTTCTTTTCTTTTTAATATTTCCAGGTTGACAAAAGACACCATAAAATTGAGGGAACGTGGAATGGAGAAACCCATATCAGGCAGGGCACAAGAATACTTATTGACATGATAAAGAAAATACAGAGAAAATTCCCACGTTGGACAAGGGATCAACAGCTAAAAGGTAATGTGCAGACCACAGATTTTGTCCAGGAGAGAAGAAAAACTTCAGGACAAGTACATACTGAATGATTTTATAGAATCATGATTTGGGTAGGAAGGTACCTTAACAACCACCTACCTTTATCCACCTGCCACGGGCAGGGATCTTCCACTAGATCAGAATGCTCAGAGCCCCATCCATACATCTTGGCCTCACCATCCTCTGAGTAAAGGATTAGATTAGATTAGATTAACATCTAATACAGCTATTTTAGTTGAAAACTATTCGCCCTTGTCCTGTTATTATCAGACTATGTAAAAAGTCAGTCTCCCTCCTGATTGCAAGTTTCCTTTCAAGTACTGGAAGGCCACAATGAGGTCTCCCCAGAACCTTCTCTTCTCCAAGCTACACAAGCCCAGTTCCCCCAGTCTTTCTTAGTAGGAAAGGTGCTCCAGCCCTTCAGCCATCCTCATGGCCTTCCTGTGGACCCACTTTAACAGCTCCGCATCACTCTTGTGTTGGGGGCCTGAGACCTGGACACAATGCTCTAGATGGGGCCTCACGAGGGCAGAACAGAAGGGGACAATCACCTCCCTCTCTGCTGCTACCCCTCTTCTGATGTAGCTCAGGATACTGTTGGCCTTCCAGGCTGAAAGAGCACAATGATGAATCATGCCCAGCTTTTTGTTCACCATGACCTCCAAGTTCCCCTCCTCAGGGCTGTTTTCAGTGGGTTTTTCTTGGCCTTTTTGAAGATCATTAGGTTCATGTGGGCCCACTCCTCAAGTCTGTCTATGTCGCTTACGACGGCATCCCTTCCTTCTACTGTATCACTCATTTTGGCATCATCCCCACACTTGCTGAGGGTGCACTCTCTCAAACTGTCAGGCTGGAATTTTAAATCTGCATTACCCCCTTGTGTGTTTCATTTTAGGTGGCATTTCTGCCTACAATGCTGGCACTGGAAATGTCCGAAGCTATGAGAGAATGGACATCGGCACTCTCCATGATGACTACGGCAATGACGTGGTTGCTCGAGCCCAGTATTTCAAGAAGCATGGATACTAGGCTGAGGCAACCATACCAAGTGATTTACCTACCATCACCTAAACAGCCACCAAAACACAAGAGAAGCTACATACTGCAAATCCATAGAGATGCACATGTTACAGGAACAAAAAAAAAGCAGGCTAAAACTCACATCTTTAAAAACAATATTCAGTAGGACCCTGGTCATGTGGTTTTTCTTTAAAAGCAACAGGCATTTTTCAAAGATGCCCGATACTTACTTAATATAATTATGTAGTCACTTTTGCTGAATTCCAACTTTTCATAAAGATACATAGACCGCAGTTGGATTTTTCTGTCACTTCTCAGTCATACAGAAATAAGCAAACAGAAAATTAATAAACATGTTATTAGCAAAAGAAACCAGACTCCAAGATACTTGTATTTTCATCTGTGATAGCAAAGTTTGGATAAGTAATGTTAATATTAGCAGACAATGAAGCAGAGAAGAGAATGGGAAAACGATCTGCTGGCATCAGTAGACAGCCAGCTGAACATGAGCCAGTAGTGTGCCCAGGTGGCCAAGAAGGTCAGCTTGTATCAGAAATAGTGCAGCTGGCAGGAGCAGAAAGGTTATTATCCCACTGTACTCAGCTCTGGTGAGGCCACAACACGAGTGCTGTGTTCAGTTTTGACCCCTCACAACAAGAAAGACATTGAAGCCCTGGAGCATGTCCAGAGAAGGGCAACAAAGCTGTGAGGGGTTTGAAGCACAAGTCTGATGGGAAGTGAACGAGGGAACTGGGATTGTTCAGTGGAGAAGAGGAGGCTCAGGGGAGACCTCATCATTCCTACAGCCTGACAGGAGGTTGTGGAGTGGTAGATGTCAGCCTCTTCTCCCAGGTAACAACAAGAGGATGAGAGCAAATGGCCTCAAGCTGTACCAGGGGAGGTTCAGGAAAATTAGGAATATTAGGATATTAGGAAAAATTCTTTCTTAGAAAGAGTGCTGATGCAGTGGCACAGTCTGCACAGGGAGGTGGTGCAGTCACCATTCCTGGAGGTGTTCAAGAACCGTGTGGATGTGGCACTGAGGGATGTGGTCAGTGGGCATGGTGGGAATGGACTGATGGTTGGACTGGATGATCTCAGAGGTCCTTTCCATCCTTAATGACTCTAAGATCCTATGAGTTGACTTAACATATCAATGAGATGGCTGCAGGCCTCACAGCAGACATTCACAGCAGACATCCCTACACATGGGCAGGTAATGACTTCCCAATCTCCTCACCCATGCCACTGAAGTGGGTTTGATTCCCACAGCTGTGGATAGAATTAAAACTCTAGCGTTCATCACCTCCTGCCCTGTGGTACAAAGGCAACTGCCACATTAGGAAGGATGACAGAGTATCATCTACAAAATGTGATGTTTTCAGGCTCACCAGCACCAGAAAGGCCTCAGATTATCTGAGGTTATCTGTTTTATCTGAGATTATCTGTTTGCTTAGCTCAGCAAACATGGGGACCAACTGAAAAGCAGCCAAAGCAGAGCAACCACCATGATCAGAAGAGAGGAAACTGTGACCTGAAAAGATGAAAGAACTGGGGTGGGTTAAGTGGGAGAACATGTACTAAGGACAGATGTATGTGTAACTATGCAACAGATGACCTGGAAGAGGAAAGCAGGAAATGGTTTGTCACGCCTGAGCGGACAGAGGGAAAGCAAATACACATCCATAAATGTGGAAATGTTTAGTAGCTCCCACTATTTGCTTTCATTTTTATCAGCAATGAATATAAAATATTAAGTATTGCTCTTTAGTATTTATTTTATAAGAACGGCCTTCGCTAGACTTAGCTAAGGCCATGAACAAGACTTCCAAGATACCTAAAAACTTATTTAAAACCTCAGCACAATTTGCAAGACACAAACTTGCAGAAATTAACTTACTACAAAAGACGCTGAAATTTGTGCTGACTGTGGAAGTCTCGCTTTTAAGTCCTGTTGCACTCTCCAGCTCGGGGCTTCTTTGTTGCAGATGTGACATGGAGAATTTCTGCAGAAACCACAGGGGACTTTGAAACAAAACAATAAATGAAACCAGGAGGGTTATGAAATGACTGGTGCTACTTGTTTCCTTTAACAGAACTCCTTTGGGAGTTCTCATTCTCAGCATCTCTGTCTCAACATCTTTTTGATTACGTAAATGTTGCACTATAAAATTGAGTTTTGCTACACCAGTGTCTGAAGTTCATTTCTTAAATACGAATGGTTATCACAGAAAGAAAAAGAAATTACTAAAGCAGTGGCTAAGAATCACGTGTCATGAATGGCATGAGGGGAATGGCATGCATCATGGATGGTTAACTGAGGGCACTACACTATCTAGAAATTACATTGCAAATAGTAAAAATGTTCCACTAGATCCAAACCACCCCATCTCTGCATTCAATACTGAGAAGCATAGTATTCTGCCATGCATACATTTAAAACGATAAGGAGGACAAAAAACCAATAGAATTGTCTGCAGCAATAAAATATTTTAAGGACAGCCTACTTAGAAATTTTATTCCAAAAAAGCTGTAGCAATTTTGTGATTCTTGTATGATTCTTGATGAAATGCAGAAAAGGCCTACAAGTATATTCTTAATTTGCTTTGTGCTGCTTAATCATTAGTTTGTATTAGTTTGTATAAGAGTCAAACAGGAAGGACCCTGTTTGACTTCTTTGGGTCCCTCCTTTACAAGGAGCTCTTCTATTAAGTGTATTCTAAATCTCCTACCTACTCAAGAAAAAAGACTTGAACATTTTAAATGGACAAGTTCCTTCCTGCTGAAGATGAACAAGAGCTACAAATGATATAAATGACAGCTGCCTCCACTTGTGGCTGAAACCTGCCCAGGCTTACCCAACCTTTGCTGTCTGACTCTGGATGTCTTACTCTGTCTGCAGCTGTCTAAACTCTGCAAAGGTGGACAGAATGCACCCAATGACAGCCTGAGCAAAAGTGAATCCAGTAGAAATAAGTTAAGCCACGGTCTTACAGTTAAAAAAAACCAAACCTCTAACTACAGTAAAGAAGCAGGTAAATACAGGCATTCATCTCAGCAGCATGATGTCAAAATAAATCACACTACTCATTGCCTCCTCCCACTCAGCTTCGTCATTAGTTGAAAGCATTTTTCAGCCCCCTTTGTCCAGCAGATGGATGCAGCACGCCCTTTTGAAGCTTTGGCAGGGAGGGGTGAAATGGTGAATTCCATCAGATGAAATGTTGCAGGTGAGCCATAAATCCCTTCTATGCTGGGAACCTGTTCTAGGAATTGCCTTTAACTGCCATAAAATTTGCTTCTGAAAAATGCTGGGGGAGGCCTGACTCTGCAGTCATCACTGCAGCTTTTCAGAAATTAGTTTCTGCGAAAGGCCCTGGCTTAATAAATCACAGAATCACAGGGTTGGAAGGGACCTCAAGAATCACGAATCTCCAACCCCCCTGCCACATGCTGGGCCACCAAACTTCACATTTTATACTAGACCAGGCTGCCCAGGGCCCCATCCAACCTGGCCTTGAACACCTCCAGGGACAGGGCATCCACAACCTCTCTGGGCAGCCTGTTCCAGCACCTCACCACTCTCTCTGTAATGAATTTCCCCCGACATCCAAATGTTTTGTTTGTGGAAATCAAATGTAGCTCACTTCGCTTTCTCCCCTCTTCCTGCTTTCCTTTGGGCTTTTCCACTTCCAATAGATGATCAGCAAAATGAAATGAGTCCTTGGGTCATGTCTCCTTGCATTCCCCTTGCCTTTAGATTGTCCCTGGCAATGCCAGCATCAGCCCTGGCCATTAGCATGGCTGCACGTTTATGACAGGCATAACCCAGAGATGCTGGGAGGGGAAGAAGTCTCCTGGCCAGCTGTGTTTGCCAGTGCTGCTCAGCGGTGAAGCCATCTCCATAGCAGGAAGCTTTCACTTATCACCAGTTTCAAGGCAGAAACCAGTTTTAAGGAAGAGCAGCCAGAATTAAGAAGAACAGTATATGAAACTGGAAGTTACTGAATGCCTCAAGCAACAGCAAGCAAAAGGGGAATCCGGGACACAAACCACGTATGAATGGCTGCCCAAAGCCACCCCTGTACTGCTGACATATCAGCACAGAGCACAACATCAAAGAGCCACATCCTTGGTGACAAGCAAGCCATGGATGCCTGCCTGGGCAGCCTGTGCCACTGCCTCACCACTCCTGAGAAGAAATCTTTTCCTGATATCCAACCTGAACCTCACCTGGTGCAACTTGAGGCCATTATCTCTGCACTGTCACTGTTACCTGGGAGAAGAAGTGAATCTTCCACCTCATTACAACTTCCTTTCAGGCTGTTGTAGAGAGCACTCAGGTCTTCTCTGAGCTTCCCCTTCTCCAGACTAAACAATTCTATTTCCTTCAGCTGCTCCACACGCTTTGTTTTCTAGAGCCTTTACCAGCTTCATTGCTCTTCTCTGAACGTATTCCAGCAACTCAATGCCTTTCTTGTAGTAAGAAGTCCAAAAATGAGCACAGTATTAGAGATGTTACATGTGAGATTCTGTGGATCCCCCCTGCCTCAGTTACTATGACGCAGAAGTAATGCAGTACATCTTTTTCTCTTTTCCCCCATCAATAACAGAATAGCAGCACAACCATTCAGAGTTTACACTAAATCATCTTTAGTGAGATTCTCAATTTTCAGTATTTGTCATTTCTGTATGAGTATATGTGCTCTATATTGCTGCCTGTCTAAAATATTTCAGTGTGTTTCAGCTTCCTTCAACTTTCCTCATAACCATAAACATGACAAGCTCCATGTAGGGACTGTGGAATTTTTCCATCTGGTTCTTGACTTACAGTAGAATCATAGAATCTTTAAGATTGGAAAAGACTACTAAAATAAGTCCAATGATCAATCATCTAGTCCAAGTATCAACTTGAGGTATCAATAACAGTATATGCAAAAGTTACAGAATCAAATCTTTCAAGACAATGACACAGAATCAGTTCCCTAGCTTACTTTGTGAAGAGCTGATCAAAGGGTGGAACAGCATTTCAGCCCCACAAAATGAACATGGGCAGAGGTGCATTAGCAGATGAAGAGGGATGGGGAGATCTGCCATCCAGTGGTTTCTTTCTTACTCCCAAACAGTTGCCATGGTTCTGCTGCATGCTACGTGGTTACCTGGGTCTGTGTTTGAGTGGGAATAAAGCCAGGAAACTCACTCACTCTGCACACCCACATTTTCAGCAGTGGCAGCCCTGTTATGTGGTAGTGCTGCTGGGTCTTTGCCTACAATAACTTCACAAATCCAAGAGCTCAGATTCCTCCTTCTGCGCTTGTCATCATTCCAGAAACTGGAGTTGTTTTCAGATAAGGCTCCTCCTACTT